TAAATGAAGAATAAAACATGAGAAGCAAGGTTGAATTATTTACTTAAGGTCACACTGCTAAACGGGAATCAGACTGGAGCTGTTCGTTTAAATCTCCAGGCTACTGATCCAAATCTTCTCTGAGTATGTGAGCTGCTTGCAAGTACATTTGCATCTTGAGGGAGAAGGGGCAGTGGAGGGGGAGTCTAGGTGGGGTGCTGGCTCTGTGCAGCCTGCCTAAGGACAGGCCTCGGCATGCCCTCTCCTCCTCCTCCTGCCCCATCTGATCACACCTCCAGCTTCCCCTGGACATGATTCTGATTACTCTCCCTCAAAACATTGTGTGGCAAGAGAGGGAAGAAAGGAAGGGAGACAGAGAAGGTCAGTGAGCGACTCTCTGCCAGGGGAGCTTCCTAGGCTCGGGCTCTAGGTGCTTCTGACTTCCTTCACACAGTTCTGTGGTCTCAGCCCCACATAAAGCCTGGTTTATGAGCACTGGCACGGTGCAGAAGGGCATCAGACACTCCTGTCTTAGGATTTCTATTGATGTGATAAAACACTATGACCATAAGCAACCTGGGGAGGAAAGGGTTATTTCAGCTTACAGTTTATAGTTCATCATCCAGGGAAGTCAGGACAGAAGCCCAGAGGAGGGGTGCTGCTTACTGGCTTGCTCCTCATGGCTTGTTCTTCCTTCCTTCCTTCCTTTTGGTTTTGTTTTTCAAGATAGGGTTTCTCTGTGTATCACTGGAAGTCCTGGAACTTGCTTTGTAGAGCAGACTGGCCTTGAATTTAGAGAGATTCTTCTGCCTCTGCCTTTGCCTCCCAAGTATGGGGACTACAGACATGCATCCCCAGGACCAGCTCAGCTTGCTTTCTCTCTTTCTCTCTCTCTCTCTCTCTCTGTCTTTCTTTCTTTCTTTCTTTCTTTCTTTCTTTCTTTCTTTCTTTCTTTCTTTCTTTTTGTTTTTTGAGACAGGGTTTTTCTGTGTAGCTTTGGAGCCTATCCTGGCACTCGCTCTGGAGACCAGGCTGGCCTCGAACTCACAGAGATCCACCTGCCTCTGCCTCCTGAGTGCTGGGATTAAAGGCGTTCACCACCAACGCCCGGCTCATTCTTTAGCTCATGTCATGTTGACATAAATCTGACCAGAACAGTCCCCAACCAGATGATGATTTTCTGTCTGCACAAAGCTCTTCATAACACCTGTCCCAACATCCCACAGACCTGGGGCTGCCCCCATAGCAGTTGCTGTCCTTGGAAGACAGCTTCAGATATGGGAGGGGGGGCGGGGACAGGGGCTTGGAA